CCCCCTCACTTCAGCAAACAGTGAGGCCCGCACCGCCCCACCCTATAGACTAGGTAGAACGTGAGGAGAAGACGACGACAACGAACGACCCTTTCCCGCCTTCTTCTCCAAGGTTCTCACCAGGGATCCTGCCAGCGCAGTTGACCTTTCTTGGTCTTCGACTTCTCGCCAGCGTCTTTGAAGGAAGCTTGCTTGGCCTCTTTCGAAGTCTTGTGCAAGCGCAGCTCCTTGTCCAGCTCTCCCGCCTTCTCAAGAAGACGGTTCATGACCAGGAAATCCAAAGCCTCGAACTGGACGTCGATGCGCCGTGCCTCATCGAAATCTTCGAACCTCTCGTTCGTGAGGTCGTCCGCCTCCTGGTTTTGCCAGCGTGGGACCCATTGTAGGTCCAGATCAACTCCCCATTATCCAGCTGTGTAGCCAATTCCATGGCCACTATGCTGAGCGGGAACTTGCTGCTTCCAAACCTTTTGAGGACATGAGTATTGCCCAGGTTGTCAGTCAAGGCCGTCAAGGTGATCTTTGCCTCTCCTTCTGCCCACTCTGCACCTGGAGCGAACACCATGACTGCCGCCAGAACACCAATCAGCTCCAACGTCGCAATCGACCTGAAGGGGTCACCCTTCAGGTACGCCCAAGCCGCGTTTCGTCGGTTCAAGCGAAAGGAGAACCATCGGGCCTCGCTTGGGCGCTCCGTCCTCCACGACTCCCAGCCGCCAATGACAATTTCTTCACCAGCCGCCTTGGCGTCCACACGAAATATGTCAGCGGGCGCAGCACGCAAGGGCTCGAGTGCCCGAGTCGGCCTACGTGCCACCTCCTCCCTCACGTACTCCAGGAGTATGACCACAGCGTCCGGGAACTTGGCATACGTTCCCCCTGCCAGTGTAGCTGACCAGGAAAACAAGGGTGCCAGAAACGGACGCACGTGCCGCAGAGCGCCCGCAAGAAAGGACAGCCTGCCCAGAACAGATTTGAGCTCGCGCCCAACCACTCCTCCTTGGGCCAGCTTCTCATCTATCCACTTTTGTATCCAGGCTCTCTTGGATGCATTGATGCCCCTCTCGAATGTGGCCACGTTGAGGGTACCCGATCCAGTCAACCTCAGCGCCGCCCCGTACCTTCTTCCAGGTAATGGGGATCTCCAGCAACTCATACAGGAACAGCCACATAAGCAACTTCTTCCAGAAGCGTTTGCCTGTAGCCGTGAGCCACCCGTCATCCGCATAGATCAAGTGCAAGAGGCCCATGTATCGCCCCATGACCCGATGACAGCTCCTCACCGCTACCCCTATAGATCGCCCGAACCAGTAAGCTGCACTGGCGATCCCGAACGTGCCTCGTGTGTGCACGAAGATGTCGCCCGTCTCCTCGCCAGGCAACCTGAAGGCCTGCATACCCCAGTCCTCTTCTCGAACCGGGATCAGCTTGTGGGCGCGGGCGATGTCATAGAGAACCGAGAACCTGACCACCTCCTGACATTCCCGCTTCTCTTCCTCCACCTGTCTCAGCGCAGCCGCTGCGTCGTCAATGAGTGGGAATCTCATCCGATCTCTAACCCGGATGCGACGATTGACGTCCACGCTGTAGGTGCCATCGTGGATCAGCCTCACCTTCGTAGTGCCCACCTCCTTGGGAACTGCTCCCAATGCAGCGACCGCCAACCTTCCTCTGAGCTTCTTCTTCGCCTCCTGCTCACTAAGACGAAGGATAGTTCCTTTGTCCACCTCCTCCAGGACCTGCCTCGCAATGTCTCCGGCGTTTTCTTCGGCCGAAACATAGTTCTCTGCTAACATGTCATGGAAATCCTCCTCGGTCTGCTCAACTGTCCACTTCTGCTTCTCCTCGTAGACCTTCGGGGTTCTAGGCAGTTCTTCGTCAACTCCCAGTGGAACACCCACTGAGGCAACCTCCTCCAAGAACTCAAAGTCCTCGTCGCCCAGCACCTCCGCAAATGCCCTCAAGCGCCTGAAGTTGATCTCCGTGACACGGTCCGACGACCTTCTCTCCGGATCGGTGCCTCTCTCCTTCAACCACAAGTCCAGGCGCTCACGGAAGCCATATATCTCACCGCCGAAGGGCGTGCCCCCCCACCTTGCCAGCTGCCGTAGCCCAAAACAACTTCTTGGCCTTCTCCTCACCTTCCAGTTCTATCCAGTCCTCGAAGGCTTTCAAGCACCATCTGGACAGCTCACGGCCCCGCTCTGTTGCAGGAGCCGTTCTTCGACCCACCGGCCACCTCCCCGGTGAGCATAGCCCCGCCCCATCGTGAACAGGACGCAGGTCTCCTTTGTATCTCGTCTGCATGGGAGGGCCCAGGCCCGGACGTCCCCCAGCACGGCCTCCCGACCACTGCTCAACGTTGCATCACCACCACTGCTCAATGTTGCATTGCTCAACGTTGCATCGCCGCCACTGCTCAATGTTGCTTTGCTCAATGTTGCATCGCCACCATTGCTCAATGTTGCTTTGCTTGCATCGCCACCACTGCTCAATGTTGCTTTGCTCGACGTTGCACTGCCCCCACTGCACAATGTTGCTTTGTCCAACGGTGCTTCGGCAACAGATGAAGGAGGCTCCTTCCGGGCCCTCTTGACCTCCCCCCTCTTTAGTGAAAGAGGGCCCGCTTTTGCGAGCGGCCAAAATTGCCTCAGCGATGGCTCGATCCATTGGCTCAGGGTAAATTGAGGTTGCAGAAGTCCGAAAAGTGTCGTCTTCGAAGCCTCGAGCCAGAGTGACCGTGGGACGACAAGTGCAGACATCCTTGGCTGGACCGATGTAGCGCCCCAGAGAGTCGAAGACCGGCCATGTATTGGGCCCCCCAAATCCGCAAGGCCGGCAGATTAGTGATCAGCCGGGTTGGTTTGCGATAAGGTGCGCTCCAACAACACTGATTGAATGCCACTGTAAACAGCTGCAATGCACCATGAGGCTTGACTAACTGTCGGAGCTCGGCCAACTGCCAATGCCGTCCTCCTCTCTCCAGACGACACCGAGGTCCTCGGGGCGTTCCCCGAAGACTCGAACCTGCTCGCCGGTTGCAGCGTGTGGATGTGCGTCCAAGACCCTGAGAACCTCTAGCGTGAACTGAATCAGCACATTGCCCAGGTCTGCGTCTCGACGATGACGTTGAGACAGCCAGGGAAATCCCCATGGATGCTCTCGAGAGCGAATGGCCGGAGGGCCCCTGCAGTTGGCGCCCCGCACCCTGCTCCAAGTGGAGCAGGGGGGGAGTGATGAGCACGACATGATAATGCCCTTGTTCAAGCTCTTGCAACAACCTCTTCTGAAGGGACTTGTCAGCTAAGTCCCACTCCGGTGAATTCTGGATGTCAATCTCGTGCAGCTCGAATTGTGTCTCTGTCTGCTCTGCTCGATCTTGCAAGAAGGTAGCCACTGAAGCTTTTCGCTGGGCCCCGCTAAACAGATAGAGCACCCTGCATATCCGTGTGCCCCTCGTTGTGCGAACCTCGCCCGGAGGAGTTGGGGCCTTTCCCCCGGGCTCATACTTTCAAGCGCTCTTGGCGCCCTCGGCCCCCGCACCGGCCGTGTCCTTGCTCTTGCCTGAACCGTCACATGCATGAGCTGGATGGCTGCCAAAGCATAGCTGGCAAACGTGAAGTCGACCGCATTGGAATCTGCAGCGCTCTCGTGGGTTGTTCCACTTCCAGCAAATCTGACGGCCATCTGGCGTGCGGTCGTGCATCTGCTTGCCCTTCTTGCCTTTCGACTTGCCTCCTCTTTTGCCCTTTCCTTTGCCCTTTGGCTGATCATGGTAATCAGTCGCCCAGGTGCTCCACGATCGTGGGGGACTCCTCGAGCGATGATAATCGCCTCTGCCTGCACTCGCTGTGCTGCTGACCTGCGAGTAGACATTGGGCGTAAGGAAATAGCGCTCTTTGATGGTAGTGTCTGTCATGGCTTCCTTCAGAGCATCTGCCAATGTCGCCCCTTCATTGGCCAGCTTGTGACCATCTGGCGCCTCACCTGGAAGTCGTATTACAAGACCAGCTCGAATTCTGGAGATGCTATGACTTCTCCATCCTTGTTGCGTGCTTTGAGGCCAAGCACGTGATCGCCAAGCATCAAATCCAGGTACTTGAGGAAGTGCTGTGGCTGCAGTCCCTTGAGGCTCGCCTTCTGTGGGTATTTCAACTGGGCCAGAAGGTAGGAGTGCGCCACCACCGACATCCTCTTGCGAAACTCCTCGGGATTGCGGGGTTTCTGGCACTCCCCGTATCCCTTCTTGATCTTGAGGGTCCCCGTGCCTTTCTCCACGGTTGCCCCCAAGATATCCGCCTCGGCGTCCTCCCGGCTCAGGAACTGAACCAGGCTCATATTTTTCAACTCCCCTTGCTCGATCTGGTCAAAGACTTGCTCCAGGGTTGATGAAGCCGGTGTATTCCGATCTTCGAGCTTGACTCCATGAACCGTCTGAAACTTCACAAGGAGCTCCTGGATCTCTACCTTGTTCAAGGCTCTGGGGATGCTTGCCACCCCGGCTTCCGCTTCGGCCTTGTTGCGGACTGTGATCCTTGTCGACGCCGACTCCCATGTGTCCACCAGCGAAGCAATCTCGACGACGTCTCGAGCCTCATCGAGTGACAGTACGTCTGTGCAGAACCTCCTCAGTGCTGCCCTGTCATCTGCGATTGTGCTCATTCTGCTCATGGTGCGTACCTTCGCCACTGCAAGCTTCGCCTGGATGACCTCGTCGACCTCCTTCACTTGCAACAGTCCGTGCAGGTCGGCATCAATGAGCGCAATTGCATTGCGTCTCCTCTCTTCTGTATCGTGCCCGATCCCTGCCATGATCGAACACGTTCACACGCCGGCCCTCCTCTCGCCGGCGCGCTCCCGACCCCTCCTTCGGGCCGAAACCCTTCAAGTTCTCTTGCCTGTCAGTTCCAACATGTCGGCTGATACATGCACAAATGTCAACCCTCATGACAAATGAAACAGCAAACGCAAGCAACGCTCTCAAACAAGTGACAGACTGCAACCCTCGAGCCTTCTCCTCTCAAACGACCGAACCACTCTAGAGTAGCTAGCTAAATCCTCTAGGGCACGGCAAAATACCAGCGTCACCCCTTCATTCCGAGCGCGCCTCTCACTCCCTTTCTGCCGCACCCACACCCCTCGTGCGGTTGCTGATGTCTCTGGCTCCACGGGATGAATTGCCACTTCTGTCCAGTCTCACCCCGTGCTGTCCTCCTCCGTGTCCGTCATCTCGGACGAGGAAACTTCTCCCGAGGAATCGTCCCCGAGAGCTCCGGCTGCCTCCGTGACTCCGCCACGAAAACACTGTCTACAAGCCTTATGATAGGCAGATGAGCTTGGGACTTCGTCTCCAAGAACCTCGAACGTAGCGTAGTGCACTCCTGGATGTCTGTGGCACTCGCCTACCCTGTGAGGCGTCTTGGTCTTTGACCGCCCCACCACACTGACTACAAACTTCCCCGCTAGTTTGTCTAACGGGGTCACGTCCTGCCCATCGCTCTCAGAATCTGCCGCCACCTCATCAACAGCGGCGGCTCCGTCGTGCTCTGCCTTCACCTCGACCGTGTCGTCCGGCTCCTGCACCATGATGATCGGACCCGTGGTGGTCCAGTTCGGCCTCAGGCATTGCCGTGCAGCGCCCTCTCCTGGCATGAAAGTCATCAGCCTCATCTGCTGTTCATCAATCTCGTTCTGGCTGTACGACATCCCTTTCATGCGCTGTTCAACCAACTGAACCACCGTGGTCTCGTCAAAGGGGTCTGAGTTCGACATGTTCTCCTTCACGAAGGTAGCCAGTACTCTTTGGCAGCGAAGGACGTTTGTCCTCACATTCCTCTCATAGCCTTCGTCCGCCTCCGGGCGCCAGCGGCCGATCATGCGCCTCACATCCTCGGGGATCCGCGCTGCTTGAGCCCAGGTGCGGATGGTGACCCGCTCGCTATGCTCAGTCCATAGCACCCCAATTCCAGGCACTAGCACGGAGCACCTCTCCTTCCCCGTGCCCACCTTCAGCTCGTTGAAGAGCGCCTGGGACATGGTCGATGCGATCGGGTAATCGACCACCTTCCGGACGAAGCCGCTCAAATTGTGATTCGGCCAGGGCAACATGAAGTCTCTCATCAACAGGCCCGATTCTGCTCCTAGCTGATTCCAGAGCTTCCATCCGATCTTGAGCCAGTCCCTTTCGGCGATCCATGCATCGCCGCTGATGTAGACAGGCAGAAGGATCACACGCTTTCCCGGGCCCGAAGTCTTTGACCGGTCAATGACCCCCTTCAGGCCCCAATCGTTCATCTCGATCGAACGGTTCGGCGTGCCCTTGGTGTCATCGAACCTCATGCCAGTCCACAGCTTGAACAAACGAAACCAGGCGTAGACCCTTGAGTAGGGCGTGGCCCCAGTGTCGCACACATGCGACTCGAATGCCACCACCAATGCCACGGGCAGGATCAACGCCTTCTTCGCCGGCTTCAGCCCCACACTCTGGAGACGTAGCGCCGCCTCCTCCAAAGCGTTCTTCACTGCCGGCGCCCTGCAGATTTGCTCCGACTCCGACACTTCACCTGCGTACTCCAGGAACATGAGCGACTTGTACACAGACTCCGGGAAACTCTTTGCGCAGGGTTCCTCCACCATGGCCTCTATGAACTCTGCGAAGCACTCGGGACTGCCAGGCCAGCTCTCGTGGAACGCTGCCTCCAACCATCTGGCTGCTTTGCCCCACGTCTTGACATGCTTTCGCAAAGTGTTCGCGCGGCGTCCTTTCGCCACGCGGATCATCAGCGCATCCTCGCTGGACCTTTTCGCCACCGGGAGACCGGCCTTCTTGACAATGTCCTTGATCTCCTTCACCCACCGATCACGTTCTTGTTTCTCGGCGAGTTCACGCAGTGCCACATCGCTGGAGGCGATATGCAATTTCATGCTAAGGCGTGTGGGCCACCTCGACCGCTTTGCAGATCCAACCAGCTCCACTCTGGCGGACACATCGTCCTGAACCACATTCTCGAAGGCCCTCCTTCTCACTGCCCTCTGATGGGCAATGTGTGCATCCATCAAGTCTTGTGCACCTCTCTTCGCTTCGACCAGCCGGATCGTCTTTGCTCGACTGTCGGCTCTTTTCACCAGATCTTCTAAGACCTCACGGCGGGGAGCGAAGCTCTCTTCCACTTCCTGAATGCGCCACACCATCGCATCCAGGACGCTCCTTTCGCAGCCGTCCAGGGTGGCAAGGCGGGTCACCGACCAACCCGCCTTCTCCACCACGCCGATCTCCCATTGCGAGAGACCGGCCAGGCTGCCCACCAAAGCCAGCTCATCGCTGGCCTCCATCGCGGCAACGCTGGACCCCCTACGCAGCTGCAAAGGGGGCGGTTTGGGCCGCGACTTCCCGGTCGTTCCGTGACAAACGGTGTGCTTCGCACAACTAGTCATATAATAGTCTAGGAACCAAATCATTAGTGCGAGCGCTTCGTCATTCCTTGAAGATGCGTGAGCTATCCTGCGTCCTACCTAGAAGCTAATTTAGCCTAGTAGGGAGGGGGGAGTGGGCTAAATTGGGTTTGGATTCGGTGGAGAACTTCACCCGTCTTCATTCATTTCAAGCATCCTCCTTCTTGACTTAAAGGCTCTGGCAGCTAGCAAGACAGCTTCTGGTCAAGTGACAACAAAATTGTGAAGGCCCAAATTGCGCACAGAACTCACTAAAAACATTGCGCAAATCTGATCCATACTCTCTCAACATTGCCGGAGAAACTCGCCCCATCGGCCAACTGAGATTATATAGGCTCTGTATTGCAATCTCTATCAGATCATCCACTAGTAGCTAACAGCTACTAGTAGTAATGCACTTGTTACTAGTAGCAATGCACTTGTTACTACGCAACATTGGAGGGGGCCATGCTTTACCTAAGCCTCAACTTTGTCCAGGGCACTACTGTATAGGTGAATGTTGCTTCTCCGAGCAAGGTTGTCGAGTCTGCCTTGAACTCACATCAGGTGGGGCACCACTACCGGTTGAGTTTCTTGCACACTTCCAGGCAAAATCGATTCATTACAATTACCCTTTGGCCCAAGAAAAGTGGACGCCAGAGTCTTGAAACAATTGGATTCAAACTCGCTGGCCCTGAAGGAGTTTTAGTAGCTTCTTGCTCCTAGTAGCAAGGCCAGGAGCCACTAGTAGCGTCCTTGCTCCTAGTAGCGATGCCCTTTGCTCCTAGCTTTTTGTTGCTAGGTTTCTTTTGCAAGTATTTGCGACCCACCCAAACATCCTGGACCACCGATGATGGACACAATGGATTTCGCCAGCATACAATGACAAATGGTTCGACAACGGGAAAGCCAGCCCACTATGTTGCTAAGTCAAGTGTCTTGGTTTCTTCACCGCTGGAATTCACTTGCACCATCACTCCGAGGGGTCTCTCAGGGTAGGCTGCCTTCCACGCTTTGTCGACAGTTCGAGCCAGCTTTTCACTGTCGATTGTCCTCAGTGCAGTTGTGAGATGGAAGGAACAAAGAAAGAAAAGAAAATATGAAGGCAATGGGCAATGTTAAGGGGGCCCTGTTGATCCTTGCCTTCTTATGTTCTTTTCCATCTGTCTTTCCACAATTCACCTGCTCAGACTTCTTTCAACCTGCATACTTGTCTTCACTCAATGAAGTTGGCCCAATATATAGCCAGCAGTTGTATGCAAGATTATATTATTATATTCAAATCCTTGTTCTTGAAAGCCTTGTGGCAAAAGTTGATATAGCTGTTAACCCCAAGCAGAACAATCAGAGAGTCCATTGGCTGAAAATCTCCTACTTGGGATGTCACTTGCTGTAAAGCTGACGGAAATACCCCCAACCTTTCAAGCCATGCAGCTCGAGGCAGGTCAAGCCAGGACAGCCCTTGACCAACATCCCAACTTTGTTGCCTCAGTGCCAAAGCGTCCCAAGTGAAGTTTTCTGGCAAGTGGCATGTCCTGGCTTGGGCTTCTTCAGGAATAATCTCAATCCACGTAACTTGTTGGTCATAGGATGTCTTAGGTGGAGCTTAGGTGTCTCACAAGGTTTTGCTCCTAGATGCTGTTTGCCAAGGCACTCTGCAAATGCCCAATGAAGTGCCACTGCACATCCGCCGGCATCTGAGGGGATTTCTCTACCAGCTCTTGAACGTAGTTTTCGCCAAAATGCCCTTGGCTGGAGGTGGTCTTGTTCCAAAAGAACACCCACCGAAAACATCTGCTCCAACATCACCTAAGAAACCTTTCTACCGAATTGCTTGAGATTCCTGAATAAAATTATCACCGCACATCGTATCTGGCATCAAACTGCGTGGCAAATGGCAAATCTATGAATGTCCGCAACAATCATTTCTGGATCTCACATCGGTATTTGTCAGCTTTGCTCTAGTTCTAGATACTTCATATGTCACAGGCGGTGGCAACCCGGGATCGACTTTTCTTCCAAGTTTCGATGTCCTGCATCGTATGCCGCTTTAAGATCCTCCAAGCATTGAAACTCCGCATTCTGATTTGCCAGTGACAGGTCAGCAATTTGGATCACTCGGAAACTGGGTGCCACAGCAAGTGCACAACAACTCCATGGGTGCTGAGTGGGGATATCTACACCTGCTGCGTGCAGTGGAGCCCTTCAAAACAATAAAAAGGACATCCTCCACAGGCTTCGTCTTGCTGACCGCCACCAACCGCACCGGTGCTTCTGGCGTAGTCACCGCGGCAGCACGCGCAGCGACAGCACCACGCACCTGGAGATTGGGATCTCAAAGTTTGTGCTCTCCTCGATTCAACTTGCAATCAGAAATGATCCATCCTACAAGAGCGCATGTACGAGTGCGACGAGGTACAATGGGTCCAGAACGCTCAACACTGCACTCTCACTCTCACCCTCCGTGTCTCTCTCTCGCTCTCAGCGAAGCCCGTGAAAAACACGCTAGGTCTGGCCTTCTCCTGCACTTGTGCCAGCTGCTCTGGGATTCCCATTGCGGCTAAAGCACGAAAACCCAAACGCATCGGCTCGTGGGCGCAAAGGGCGGGTGTTTCACCCAGCTGCGCCCGCTGAGCCAGTGGCAGTTTGTCGTTCACATCCCCAGGTGTGTGTGTGTGTGTGTCAACACCTGTTTCCAAGGTTCGTGCCCGGTAAGTATGCACGCAGCAGGTTTTACTTGAAGAGAGGATGCTACTAATGGTTTCTGGCCTTGCTACTAGGAACAAAAGGCCGCTAGAGCCAAGGGCATCGCTACTAATTAAGAACAAAGAGGCAGGAACAGGTATGCAGAAAAAACAAAAGAAAAAGAAGCAGGGGGCCACCGGGGTCCCAGAGGAGCGGTGGCCAACGAAGACCTCCTTTGGGACCAGCATAGACGCACCTGCAATTTTAGTAACTGCTTAAACCGCTGTTCTGTGTCTGCTAGGTATTCAGTAAAGCGGCTAGTGCATAGGCGGTCTGCTAGCTATTCAGTAAAGCGGCTAATGCATAGGCGGTCTGCTAGGTATTCAGTAAAGTGGCTAATGCATCTTCCGCAGTCGAGTGAGAAACTCTTTTGTTAAAACACCTGCAAGTGCTTGGACCTTTCGCCTTGCCGTTCCCTCGCCTTTTTTCCACTTGGGAATAGGTTAACTGCAAACCAATGTCAGAGTGTGAACCGCTCAGTCGTCCCACTTGGGTGCTGGGTGTGATCCTCCGCAAGGAGGCGCCTTTTTCACTCCGGACTATCGTGTAACGGACACAACTGTTTCCTGCATGCGTTGGATTCTCTTAACTGAATTGGTCTCACTACTGGATTCTCAAAACACGATGCCGTCGGGCCCACGACTTTTCTCCACCTGTACTTTCATTTGATGGATTCCAACTTCTTTCGCTGCCAGTGTTCAGTTTCAAGTTCAACTTCAAGACCTTGTTTGGGACCAGTGAAGCTACTGTCCAACTTCCATGACTTTCACCCATGCGGTTTTTGAGGTACATGTCGCAGGGTCACCAAGCTAGCAGTTAGGTAGCTTTTCTTGTTGCATGCGCTTGTCATGCTCTTGGGTTCTTTCTCTCTTTCTGTTGCATTTCGTTTCTTGAGGCCTTTCTTTAGGTTCCAGGTGCCTTTCCGACAAGGGTGCGCCGGCCCTAAATCGGCTTTACTTGAATGTCAGTGATGGCAATGCCTTCGGGCTCCCCTCCCTGCCCCTGGCCTCTGTTGCTATCCCACCTGCTATCTAGGGTTATAGAAGGAAATCGCACTCAACACACCTGTGTGTTGGTGCATTTCCTTCTATTTCTCCTGTCCTACTTCTAGCTGCCCGGGCGGTATAAGACAAAAGTCCCGCTCGCTAGCTTCTGCATGTATTTTAACGAACAGGCTTCGTAACTAGTCGGCCTCGTAACTACTCCTATCTTTCTCTCTTGCCCTCTTCGTTTTCTCTGTTTTTCTTTGTCTGTCGTTCTAAGGCTTTTTAGGTGACTAGTAATCTCCCGGCACGCCGCTATCGGCGTTGTGTGTACAAAGCTGCTGAACAAAATTGTTTAACGCAGGGGGTGCAGAGCGCCGATTGCGGCATACTGTGTGTGTCAACACCTGTTTCCAAGGTTCGTGCCCGGTAAGTATGCACACAGCAGGTTTTACTTGAAGAAAGGAAGCTACTAATGGTTTCTGGCCTCGCTACCTGGAACAAGAGGCCGCTAGAACCAAAGGCGTCGCTACTAATTAAGAACAAAGAGGCAGGTACAGGGATGCAAAAAAAGAAAAAGAAAAAGACAAAGAAGCAGGGGGCCACCGGGGTCCCAGAGGAGCGGCGGCCAACGAAGACCTCCTCTGGGAGCCCCGTAAACGTACCTGCAATTTTAATAAATAAGTGTTTAAACCGCCGTTCCGTGTCTGCTAGGTATTCAGTAAAGCGGCTAATGCATCTTCCGCAGTCGAGTGAGAAACTCTTTTGTTAAAACACCTACAAGTGCTTGGACCTTTCGCCTTGCTGTCCCTCGCCTTTTTTCCACTTGGGAATAGATTAACTGCAAACCAATGTCAGAGTGTGAACCTAATGAGGTGCAAAGTAGCAAGTGGCATTGACCAGGAAGGGGGCCTGCTAAAGAAGTTTGTTCACAAATTGCTATCATCCAAAGGCCCAGTGTAAAGGAAAATCATTGAAAACCTCTTCCCCACCAAGTAGCTGTGCCACCAACAATGCACGAACCATTTCCTCATGCCGCTGGCAGCGCATTGCCAAAGGTCGAGACTTCCTCAGCATAGGAGCATGCTCTCTATGACAAGCACAAAAGTCAAGTCTAAAACCAAATCAATCAAAGAGCAGTCATGGATCCAGTACACAATTGGCAGCACTGTTGCTTTCATGTCACATGCAATCTTCTCCCGTCTTCTCCTGTGTGCCTTGTCTTGATTCAGGCTGAGCTCCACTTGTCCAACCTTGGCTTCTTTTTCAGCTTGGGCGGTCTTGCCAAATCCACATCCTCTGGAGGAGGCCAGAATCGAACCACCTGTGGAGGCAATGTTTCCACAGTGACAAAACATATTGCTAAACTGCGCAGACTCGTTTGTTCTCTAAATGACTGCATGACTCGCAGAAGTGCTGCAGAAGGGGACCAGGCCTCTTCCCACTCACCACTTGGAAGCTTCAGGAACCATGTATCGACCCCAGCAGCTTCGATCACATGTCGTGCCTGACAGCGATCAGCGGCCCACGAATTGGTCCATGAACTTCCCATCACCCTTGTGCCAAGTGGCGGCAATCGCCGAGGCCGAGTCCCCTTTGGGCCCTGGCAGTCCGGGTTGAGGATAGTAAGGTGGCTCCTAAGCGATTGGAAAGGGCTCAAAATGATCCAACGGGTCTCTATATTGCCTACCAAATGTGTCAAGAATCTCCGGCGCTTTGTAGCTTCATTGCTGTTTTGGCTTTGGGGCATGAATTGAAGGGGTCATGAGTCATGACTGTGAACCACCATGTGTGTGTAGGTCTCGGTTTAGCAAGGCCCAATCTCCTCCTCTTGCTCTAGGTATGGATGTTCCTCGTAGGACTCCTGTCACGACGTGGGACGTGAGCAAGTCGATCCATCACGCCCTGGAATTGCCAAATCCAATCTTGGTGATGCCTCCAGACGCGATCTCCGCGATATCGGCTCTAGTGACTCTAGTGGTGCCGGTGCAACATTGGACAATGACAAACGTCCTGCAGCGGCTTCGGCTCAGGTAACCTTAACACTGTTCACAAACTCGGGAATGAGGCAGCACAAGGGCACTGGCATAGCCAAGGCTTCCATGCTGAACTGAAAGTGAATTACAACACAACAGGACTAACAATTCCAAGTTCATTGCTAAGCAACTGTGTTTGCGTTGCTGCTGGTGCTGGCAGGGACCTCAAAGTAGGTGTCTGCGTGCAGGCAGCCTACTGGATAGGAGTGCCAAACCACTGTCACAGTTTCGCTGAAAGCTTTGGAGTTCCTCTGTCACATCGCTAAGAAAGTCCCGCCATTGAACGGTTGGCACCAATTGAGCGCAACAATCAATGACACTATAGTCACTAGAAGTGAATCTGATCTTTGAGCACCACCTCTTTTAAAAGGATGCCCTCTGAAAAAAAAGCAAGTGAAGTCACTTGTTCTACGTCATCTTCTCTGCAGCCACACTGCAAGGACTTCGGAGGCGGAGCCACCTAAAGAAACACACTGGAAAAAATTCTTCTGAAGTGGGCTGCTGTATACTGTCATGGGTCAGCACAACCACTTCGAAACACGAGATGTCGCATTTGAGACCCTATGCCTGCATCGGGGCCGGAGGTACAGTTGTGGGTGGCAAAGCCTGATCGAAGGTGCTTGCTTCGCTTGGGAACATGTTGATCAACTCCAAAAGATGCAAGTGCCAAACCTGCCAACTCCAGAGTTTTAGACTCCCTGTGTTAACCAATAAAGGTCTACATCCAGTGAAGTTGCCATAAGTTGCCTCGGGCTGTATGGCAGGCTGTGGAGCTGCCTGGGCGGCTGCCTGCACTGCAGCTGGTGGCTGCTGTTGCGTCGGCGACAGCTGTTGCAGCTGTGGCTGAGGTTGCGATTGTGGCTGAGTTGGCTGAGCCGCACCTCATGCGATGGTCTCAGGGGTAACGCGGCTTATTTGCCCAAGTGCCAAGAACACTGCCTGGGATTTGGTGAGGTGTAGTTTGGGGGGAAACTCGTGGCATTTGAGTTTTTAAACTCTTGCAAACTCGAATCTCGATTCAGATTTGCCTGGCATGCTGGCCACACCAGTCATCCCCATCGATGGCATACTGGGCATTGAAGGCATGGAAGGCATCGATGGCATACCAGGCATCACTCCTGGGACTCCTGAGCGAAGTTGCAGGATGTTGGCTCAAATTATTTGATCAAGTCAAATCTTCCTAATATCCTTCCAGCTACTCACCGGCATGGTTTAAGTTCCGGATGGGGAGCCTAGCCTGGCAATCCAGGCAGCATCCCCGGCATTTGCAAACCTTGCGGCATGTTGAACAGAAAGTGTCATTCGCACACAATTGTCCAAATCTAACTGCTTCAACAAGTTGTTCAAACATCTCACAAACAAAAACTGTATATATCATCTGAATCGATCTATATAACAATTCTCACATGACCCTCTCACTTGTTCCATTGAAAGGACCTGAAGAAGAAATGCTTCATGACCCTCGCCTCCGAGCCCTGGCATCATAAGGCCTGGCAGCATACCGCAGCCTCCCATCTGAGCCATCATCATGGCCTCTGGGTGTTGCGAACTGTTCACCTACGAAGGGGCCTCCCAAAGACAACCAGATTGAGATGTGGCCTTGTGGCTGACATTGCTCAAAAATTGTCTACTTACAGCCCTATGGCGTTTCCCCGGCCTCCATTGGATTCATGGTCATGCCAAGCCCCATCGACCCAGTCATTGGATTGACACCTGGGCTCCGAGATATGCAATGCTCATTGGCCTCTCTGCATGCAACTGTTGTGATGCAAAGGCTAACTTTGTTCTCTGACTTCTGAAAGTTGTTATCTAAATACCTCTAAAGTCAACCTGAAGTCTGCGCTGCCTGCGCCTTGCAAGTTTGGACGTCCTTCAGCCTCAAAACAGCCAACGGCAATATCACTGTGCCATAATCCCGTTCGAGATGCGAACTGGGTGTCCAACCGGTTTCTCTGGCTCTGGCACCTGTGGGCTCAGACTGTGGGATCAGACTCACCACCATGGTGAACAACTTTTAAAAGCCCGAAAAATTAACATATTCTTCACATGAAGACATATGTTTTAAACATGTGAATTGGCGCTCTGACGGCGTCAGTTGAAGAAAGAAGCCTCATCAAAGGTGGGCCAACTCCAAACTCCCAAAGCAATCGTATCCTCTCCTCAAATGTTCATAGATGTGTTCATAAATGAATGCAGAGATATCCCCTTCCAGGAGATGCCCAAGCTGCTTCTCCAAGCGTTTCACTCGTTTCACCTCAGGCTGGGCACCTTCGCCTCGGGCGGCTCGTCGCGTGGCTCACTGCGCTCACGCTGGAGCTCTGGCTTCGCATCAAGGCCCGCTGCGGTGGCTGCGTCCCTGGAAATGAGTTTTTTCAGATTCCGCAAATCGATTCACACATATATCTAATACATATATACTAGCATATAATATATAATACTAATAATAGTAATGCTAACAATATATATGTATATATTATGTATATATACAGGCCAGGGCCGGCTAGGGCTGGGTGAGCGTCGATCCCATGGATTAGCAGGGATTTGTTTCTCTACCTCAAGCAGTTTCGCAGCAGTAGCAGCGCAGTGAGGCGCTCAAGGGGGGTTGACAACATTGACATTGAAAACGCAATTGAATGATGGGGGAGTTGATGCCGTACTGTAGGCTGTCCAGCCTCATCATAAACTATCCAAAACCATCATAAACCTCCCCTGTCTTACAGGAATCCAAGGTGTGTTCCCTCCGTGTTGGTCAGTCACGCTCCCAACAATGACAAAGTGTTCATGTTTCAAAGGATCACTGCCATGTGTTGTTCATAGGGTGTCGCTTCACTTGAAGTGGCTTAGCATGAGAATCAGCAAGAACCCTACAAACACTACATGAAACAATCAACATCGCTGTCAAAGCAAATTCCAATGATATGGTTTTCCCACTTTTGGGCACAACCTTCCACTAAAGCTCAACCCTTCCACTGGCTTTCCCACTTTGAGGTGCCACTAGCCTATGGATAGTAAATGTCCTTGCCTTCCCATGTCATTCCCACTTTCGCCTGTGCTTTTTCCACACGGTTCCACCATTTGCAAGGTTCTTATCCATCTTTTCCACTCTAATTGATGACACTATTTTCCAATATGTTCTCACTATTTTGGGCACCACTCTGATGGTTTTCCCATTAGAACCTGAAGGAACCTGACCTTTTCCCACAAGAATTATGAGTTTGGAACTCCTTATAAGACAGATCTAAGTTAAAAAGTTTTTAAAGTAATGTTTCTCAAGCCAAAGCTCGACATAAAGCTTACCAAAAACTTGAAAAAACAACAAATAGTCCAAATTACAGTCGAAATTCATCAAGAAGTCCAAACTAAAGTTGAAATTGCCAGATATAGGCCAAATTATGATTGCAAAGTCCAAGTTACATTTTTAAATTGCCAACTAGAATCCAAATTAAAATTGAAATTGATTCAAAGAGTCCAAATTAAAGTTGAGAGCACCAAATAATGTATAAGTTCAAGTTGAATTTGCAAAATAAGTTCGAAATTAAACTGAAATCGCTAAAACATGCTAAACTAAAATTAACATTCACAAAAAAGTTTAGTTTAAAATCGAAATTGCCAAATCTAGGCCTGAATGTTGCTGCTGCTGGCATGTCTTGGAGTCTTAGCCCTTGCCAAACTGCTTTTCTGCATCAGAACTCAAGCTGCTCAAGATTCACATTGGCAACCAACCTGGAACCAAACATCAGGTTTTAGAGTTCAGTTTCTAAAGTTTCCTAGTGAACTAGTGAAGCCTGAAGCTTAAGGCATGAACTCTAAACTCTGAACACCAGGCTCAGTGGTCAATCATTAGTATTGATTACTGTGAGTGTTTGCTGTGAAACTGTGAAGATGTTAGAGTTAGAGACCTAGGCTATAGGCTCTGCTCTGGTTTTTGGGCACTCCTCGAACGACCTATAGGAGAGGTCAAGTAAAGCAGTAAAGTAAAGCTTCAGGCTGGACCTTGGGGGCCTGGACCAAAGTTACCATTTTGGGTGTCCACCTTGACCACTATTTTGGAAAATTTGGGTGTTCACGGCCACTGTTCGTCGATTTTTTTAATTTCTGTATTTTTTGAATTCGAGTTTTAATCGAGCTTTTATTCGAGCTTTTCTCGAGCTTTTCTAGAAGAAAGCTCAAATAAAACTCAAAAATGCGAGTTTAATTCGAGGTTTGCGCGAGGTTTGCTCGAGAAAACCTCGAGAAAAGCTTGTGTATAAGCTCAGTTGAAAGCCAGTCGAGTTTAATTCGAGTTTAATTCGAGCTTTTCTCGAGAAAAACTAAACAAAAACTCAAGCAGAAGTTCAACTGAAAACACGATTAAAACTATTTTGATCTATTTTGACTTTAAAGCTCTAGTTAAACTCTGCCCTGCTGCTGTTAGCTTTCCAGTCATCAAACGTTAGGAGTTTAGGGTTTAGGGTTTAAGCTGCTAAGCTTGGGCCTCAAGCTGCTAAAGCTTCACATCAGCAACTAACCTGGAACCTAGTCAGCATTCAGGGTTTACAGTTCAATCTCTAAAGTTTCCTAGTGAGCTAGTGAAGCCTGAAGCTTAAGGCATGAACTCTAAACTCTGAACTCCGGGCACAGTGTTGCTAAAGTCACTTCTGTGACTTGTTCGCTTTCGAAAAAATGCCGGTAGCTTTGTTTCCACGTGGTTGTGTTTGCGCAAGTTTGCAGAGTGGTTTGACACTCTAACAACAAAACACTGGCTACACACACTTGGAATCTGATGTCCTTTTTGTTTCCTTCACAGCTCATGAGCGAAACATCTGGTCATTATGCATGTCCCATGGGTCAGGCCATGGAGCTCAGCCTTTAATTGGCAGAGTGAGTTGTCTGGCTAAAACAAGTCTATTCCTTTTTAGCATTGTAGAGACTTTACTTCAGATTATATTTGGACATTTGACTTTAAATTCAACTTTTCTTTTGACATTGGACTTATGTTCAACCTTTATTTTGACATTGGATTTGATTTTTGACTTTTATTTGGACCTTGTAATTGATTTTCAACTATTTTCTGTGGCTTGGACTAAATTTTCAACTTCTATTTGGACATTGGTTTTCTCTCCGACTTTTAAAACAAGCTTTTGGTGATCTAAAATCGAGGTTTGAGGTGTATCTGTCTTATAAGGGATCCAAACTCATAACACAAGAACCTGAAGTGCTCCCACAAAAAAAAAGAATATTTAAAAAAAAATGAACTTGGCCCACTTTTGGGATAGCCTCCGGACAAAAAAAAGTAATTACTAAAAGTTAGAAATAATGTGGACATGCTGTCCTTTGGAAAATTGTTTCTTTGAAATCATATACAGGTGTGCAAATGTGTTGAGCACTTTCCCACTTTGGGGGGCACCCCTCAACCACTCCCAAGGTCCAGGCAATGTGAGTGCCGTGTGTCCAACTCAAGTCAAGTCTGACAAAAATATCATGGAAATCCCAACTCTTTCCCATGCATATCCCAGATTGGAATTTATAAGGATTTAGTCATGTTTCTTTACAGGTTTCCAACACAGTGAAGAAGTGCTCTATGAACAACCTCCAAGTGGGGTTCTAAGAATGTTGGTAAGTGTATGTAGGTGTCAACGCTAGCGTTGAGCACCCCACGAGGCTTCTTCGTTGGGCAAGGAATTCAGCAACGCTTCTTGTAGAGCAAGCTGCTGCCTTGGGTGGCATCATGGAATGCCAATATCTGAATGCCGATCACAAGAACAGTGCCACAGCCTCACACATTCAGGAGTATGTTCATGATTCTATATCGCGCGCATTGTCATAAGGAGCTCCAAAATGAATATACTGGGCCGCTGAGGCAGTGGAAATTTGAATTGTCCAAAGTGTTGATGTTCAGCTGAGTCACTTCTTGAGTTCCTCTTGACCTTCTTTGCCTTCTTTTTCGGCCTCCTTCAAGTAAGTTGGCAGTCTCATTGGAGAAACAAACAAACACTGGCTGGCTCCAGCAACACTTTCGTCCCACTGTCCTTGCCAGGCTTTTCGCCGCGCAGAAGCGAAGCCAAGGCTCCTTTGGGAGGTTCTTCTTTTGTCTCCTTGGGCTCTTCCTGCGCGTGCATCAATCATACCATGACAAATGACAGAGGGATGTGCCTCTAGTACCCTTTATGGACTCGTTTCATCTTGTGGGCGATTTTCCGTGCAAAAAGTCACCCTCGAGAACACCAAGGCTGATAACACTTCGAAGTGTTCTTCTGAGTCCTTCTTCTCCAAAGGTGGCAAGACCCAAACGGTTTCTTTGCTCTTGCGGCTCCAGTAGTAAGTGCGCCCATCTGGCGACTTCTCGCCGATCCACTTCACTTCCTCGCCCTCAGGCAGGCTCCAAGCCTGCCAGTCGTCAAAACTCCAGGACGAAAATATAGACCAAAAACATCCGAGGATAATTTTTTGATATATACCTGAGAACGGGGGGGCGAAAGCCAGCAGCCGCCATACGAGTGTCTCTTTTTCTGGCGGGCGTCGCGGCACAAGACACATGGTCGGCAGCTTGCGAGTCAGCGGTGCCGCGGATGCGGAGAGAAAAGTATGTAATGGTGATGGAGGGAGAAGAGAAGCAAGCCGGGCAGCTGTGGGATAAGTTTGGTATGAAAGAAGTAGTGAAAGAGAAATGCGATACGTTGTATGTTGGTGTAGGCCATCATCACAAGGCAATGGCATTTTGTCACATGCAGGAAGGTATGCAGCGTATGGAAGTTGGAAGGTGACATCAGCGTTAGCGAAGGGGAAATACCGTCCGAATTCGGGTGGTGGGCTACCACGTGCGCAGGAAGACCTTCTCCATAGTCAGCGTCGCCGCATGCGAGTACGGCATGCGCTTGAAAAGAAACAGTTACGTATGTGCTTGTTAGATTTGGAGTGGTTGAAGTTTGCAATGCATACTGCGGCACGTCGAACAGCGGCATTCGTTGATTTGGAAGAGTGAACGGGCACGTCTTAGCCGACACGGACGTTTGATCCCGCGGCACAGAAGGGGAGGTCCAGCGCGAGTAGCTTGGGCTAGCAAAGGAGTGAGGATTTGTGTGCCTATCGATGCACATGCCTGGACTTGAGTGAGTCATGTTCTGGCTCGATCCAAAACAAAACCTTTTTCCTCTAAAGGGGCCTTTATAAAACGATCCAAACACCTTCTTTGTTCGTCTCTTTCTTATCAACTCTGCGCCTTTCTCACTCAGAGAAGCCTTGACTTTGGCACCTGCATGTGTAGATCTTTGGGCCGTGGACACAGGCTGACTGGATTCGGCCAGGGCTGCCAGCAAAAAGGCGACGTCATGAGTCAGTAGTAGAACTTGAGAGGAGGGAGACACGAAAGGTAGGACAGCGGGAAAAGAAGAGAACACATGAAGACGTGCTTCACAAAACAAACTCTAGGTATGTACCCCCTCGGGGAACACCTTTCGTAATTAGAATTTCATATGCACTCTTTCTGAAGGTTCAAGAGGGCTTCAACTATCCTGAAATCATGAGAGGCTCACGAAGACGTTCTCCAGGAGAGAATTGAATTTAGAGGGGGGGGAGGGTCTGTATTGAAAAATCAATTCCAGGGGGGGGGGGGTTCTGTATTGATAAATCAATTCGAGGGAGGGGGTGGTTGAATTGAATGATCAATTATTAGACCCAGACGCGCCAACACTTGCTTCGCAAGATAAACTCAAGGTATCCTGTAAAGGGCTACCTTTCGTGATTTATCTATCTATCTATCTCTATCTATCCATCTATCTATCTGCACCGGCAAGCCGGAAAAATGTTCTGGACGCCGCGAGAAGCATCCACTGGACCGAGGACATGGTGCAAGTAAAGTTTTTGCTGGGGGGCAGGAACCCTATGCGGATATGTAGCCAACCTCGCAGGCATCCCCACCGAAACTCAAGCCAAATTCATGGACTTGAGCTCATGTCACTTTCGGCCTCCCATTGTCCTCCAAAGCTCTTCATGATGCTAATGATGCACTACTAAGCGTCCGTTACATCACTCGCATCACCAGACCCCATTTTCACTGCTTTTCTGACCCTCGCTTTGGAGCGCTCTCCCCCACCAAGCTCTGGCACCCCCTTACCCTAAGCCTAGCCTATCCGCTGGCTTTCGTGCTATGAAATAATATATAGTTCAAAAAAAAGCTAAAACAATGTATTGGACAAAATTGTGGTGAGCATGGGCTTCACGCTGTTCCGGCGTACAGGTTTCAGGGCCAGGCCACTCTTGAGTTGTCATGCCGGTTCCAAAAATAGATGCGGCCATCATCCGTCTTCAGCTCAACCCAAACCTCTGTGAGAACCTGAGGACGGTCGATGTCTCAAAGTCACATCCTAAACCTCCAAACAAAACGCCAGACGAAACCAACCAGACCCGAGAAATTTGCGTCTGCTTTCCAAATCAGGGTTTGCACCCCCAAACCCGTTTTGGTTCTTGGCACCCTGAAAGAGGCTGAACCGGACACTAAGATTCAGAGGGATACCAAAGCGTTCGATCCATATATTTCACGGGTTCATCACGGTTTCGTCAGGTTTGGCCAAAGTTAGACACCGGGTTTCCCCAACACCCAGGGCTTCGATCGGTAAAGCATGGGTTGTCACGGGTAAATCACGAGTCATCGCGGGTTCGGTCTTCTAAAGAAACCTGACCCTGATTTTACATGCTTTCATTAATTATTTAGTTACATTGAGAATAGTTCGATCAAAACTCTTGGATATACTCAGGAAGAAACGTCTTTCTTGGGAAACCCAGGCTTTATAATGGCCCTGGGTTTGGAGCATGGAAGTAGTGAAACACTAGATTTGCTAGCAAACCCGACAAAAAGTAAGGGTGCAGTTGCTCAGGGTAGTTCCTATACCGTACCTATTTTGAGCGGTCTCCGTGTTGCCTTCGTTCTTTGGGGGGTGATTGTATGTGATCGTTTTGATTTGATACCTTTCCAGTGGCCTCGGCGGGATCTTGTGCGGGTTTTGGGACTGTAGCAGAATTGAAGCACAAACACACGGATGGGAAGCGCTAACCGTTTCGATTTGTACCGAGAAACCATGGACCGCAAAGAGATAAGGAATCAATTTCTCGCCATGGCGGGGCTTTCCGCCCTTGGGCATTGACTGCCCCACGGGCAGCCACCCCCCTGTTCCAGAAGCGTGACTGGAATTCGAGTGGAAATTTGGCGGTTGTGATTTTGGTGCTCCTGAACTGCACAGCACTCATGCTCGCACGCACGCACACACACACACAAACACACACTTGCACTCCACCATGCCTGCCTTGTGTCTAGTCTAGTCTAGCCACTGGGTAACTTTAAGTCCACCGTCATCAACAGGGAATCAGCAGAGACAGCCCACAGTTCGCCGCAAGGTTGGTGCAAATTCAACTCCGACAAATATCCCTGACATGTGCATTAGTTATCATTAGGCACATGCTAGCACGAAAAGCCAAAAAGCTTCCGTGCGTTTCATCACCTGTCTGCTCGGCAGTAACACATCGGTGCAGTGCCGTGTTCCCATCCTCAGGGATATCGACTTCCAGTGCAGCTTAGCTCGATTCAGTGCTACAAAACATGCAAGGCTGTGAAACCCTACAAAGTTGCTAGTCATTTGACGTACTGTATGTATTTTATACATGTCCTACACCCCAACCACCTACATACTGCTGTATGCCAGTAGAAAACTGGGAAGCGTTTCTGGTTTAGAGCTGGAACACTTCTCTAGCTCTTTGGCCTAAGCCAGCCTAGGCATTTGTTTCCCAGCAACCCACAAGTCTTCTGAGGCTGCGACAGTGTCCGCCAAGGATATGATCCTATGGTCATGGCAAGGGTGCACCGTTGCAGCCTTCTCCGCGACAGTCACAAATCACAATCCAACTCATCTACTCTTCCTGGGTCTTGGACGGCATGGGAGATGAAACGTTCACTATGTTCGACGACAAGCTATCTAAGTTTCTCCTCTGCAAATGCTCGCTCCCACCATTGAGGGCTTCAAAGCCTTAGAGCCGAATTCAACTGGGTAACTAGGTGCTATGAAAAGCAAATGTTCATTCCGAGCACTGAGAGGCTTACACTTTTCTGCACGCTGAAGCTCCTGCTTCTCTACAGCGTGAAGGAAGTCCTGGCACGGTGCAGCAGTATGGCACAGAAGTATAGGATAGTACAGTATAGGCATACATTGATACGGAGCACGTTCCAAGCATAGAATAGAATAGAACAGAAAGGCCTACCATACTTTGTCACCTGCTAACAGACTCACAAATCAGTCCTGAGACAAGCTCGACAAAAGCTCCTCATCACTGTCCGAAGGAGGTCCTACACAAGCCGAATTCGGCATCTCTGCGGTGTGTGTGTGTGTAAATACGACATATTACGGCGTAGTCTTCTCTTGCATTGGCAGTTGCATCAAGCGGTGGGCGCACCTGGGTCAACAGCATCAGCCGGGAAAAGTGCCCTCTGAAGCAAGGGCGGCCGCCGCGGTGGTTGGAAGTATGCTTTGGCGCTCAGCACCTTCACTCAGTCCACTGGGTCTTGATTCGTACAAAATAATCCTCAAATTGGACCAAGCCTCACCATAGACGCTGGCAGCCGGGGCAGGCAAAAAGCCTTCCCTCTGCCTAAGTCTAGTCTTGGATGAGACTGGCAATTGCAGGCCCAATCAACTCTGTTTTATAGACATGAATGAAGGCAACAGAAGAGCGTTCAAATCCATGCTTGAGCTTGAGCTTGCAATGTGTGTGTGTGGACTGTGGATGATATGAAAACATATGGCAACCAAACAGATGCGGCGGGCCATCGTTGGCTCAACTGAATCAGTGTCAAATGCTGTAGTGGTGCTGATCAGTCTCTCTTTTCAGCCGGGCTGCTCAAAGGCCGGGATCTTGATGTCGGTCCAAACCGGCATAGCGTCTTGCTACGCGAAATCAAGTCTTATTAGAGGTTGCCATGCTTGACTTGCTGCATCTCAAGGCTGTCATAGGCCATCGGCCATCTACCGCAACTATATAATGCGACAATGCGACTTCCAACGGTCGGTTCAAGCCAGGTGGCTTTTCATGTCCCTTGGGTTGCAACAGCTATGGCGCCTTTGATTGAGTCTGAATGGCCAATCTCTCAGCCCTGGCTCATGAGAGGGGTCGGGCTGGCATGGATCTGCGTGCGCTACCTCAGTCTTGGCGCCCCCCAAGTCCATGGTCTTGAGCAGCGGCAAAACCAATCAACCAATGCTGGAAAATTTGTGGATGCTTTGGTTGGCTTGAATCTGGGTTGCCGAGTTGGATGTATGGCTCCTCTATATATGCATACAATTGAGTTGCTCCCATGCTTGCGCTCGCAACATGTCAAAACTGCAACACCTGACGAGCTCTAGGCAAGAGAAGTCTAGGCGTGTGGGTGACAGCCAATTGACAAGTCATCCTTGCAAGGTGGCAAAACAGGAATAGGTTCTTTTGCGGTTCTGGCGCTGTGACTGACAGGCACACCAGTTGGCATACCCCTGGCTTTCATCCAGCAAAAAAAACGGTTGGTTGCGACTCAGTTGTGACAAGCCAGAATCAAAGTTTCAGGCCATGATAAAAGCCATGAAGAGTCCAAATAGTCTGCAGACATTTGCCTTCATTGCGAACTAAAAAAAGGGTGACAGTCTACAGAAAACTGTAGCTGCACAAGCACGCGGCATGATCTGGCACAGCTAAGGTTGTAAGAAAAAATGCGGCACGAGCCACTGGCCAATGTTCTGACCCTTCGCCCCATTCACAGGTCGTTGCTACCTGAGATGGTGGCCGCAATCAAGTTTTTCCCCATTGCAATCGGGATGCATGTTTAGGTAAGATCAAAAATTGAAATTTCTGAGTTAGATTGCTGCGAATCTTTGCCAATCAAGCCAGCAAATACGTTGGAACAAAGGACCTTCCAAACACGTTGCTAAGCTGCGCTGGCTCCTTGATCTTGACTTCATTCACAAAGTCAACCACCTTTTCATGAGCATGTTGGTCGCCGGCGACGCTAGCTACCATCTCCGTGCACTGCGCCGTTCGCGTTGCATGATACCCTTCGCTTTTCCGGGCCCCGTCGCTTGCCACGCTAAAACAGCTTACAGTAAGGGCACTGCGAGCATCTGGAACTGGAGAGCATGAAACAGAAACAGGTCCACAATCACTACATCATACATCTACATAGTACGTCCACCGCATTTCTTAGGGTTCACCATGGTTCACCACCACTGCCCTGCGGCCACCTCCGTTGCAATCTCGATGCCGAATTCGACGCCTGCCAGGCCACATGCGGGAATGAAACCGCCTCCATAAATCAAGAATGAGAAGAGAGGAAGCGGGGAAGTGCCCCCTTAATAAGACCCTTCAAAGGCGGCCTTATTGAGGCGGCACTTCCCTTTACGGTTGTCAATTTTGTCTCAGTCCTTCTTCATTCCTTCTTCATCTTCTTCTCCATGTGTTTAGCTCACTTTATAAAAATCCATCGAAATGGTCGACTTGTCCAGTCATTCTCCGCCACTACACTCGAGTCTCAGCAAGCTGCATCTGCCCAAAGCCACACCGCCCACGAAGTTCCCTGCGAGGTAAAGGCCTTCACAAACGAAAACTACCTGTGACCCTCCCTACTACACGAACAGCAACAACCACTTAGAACGTGTTTACCACCTATGCACAAAGGTGTGGGAAAGCTGCAAGACTGCGTGTAGCTAGTCCGGTCTAGCAGTATGGCCGGTTGGCCACTGTTTCCTGTGGCATTCCAGCAAAGCAGGCCTTCCACACCCTCTATGCCCAGGCTCTTCTTCACGGTATCTAAACGGTCTTGATGCCCAACCTGGGATGCATCCAACAAAAACAAGAACTGCACTGCTTGGATCGGAGGCTCGAGTGACCAAGGCTGAGCTGAGTTGCTTCCAACTGCGGGATCGCTCGATCCCAAACCCTGACACCAAGGGCTTTTGGAAGATTGGATGCCTGGAGGGCAGGGCTGGGCAGGATGATACAATGGTCTTTGCTACGTCCTTGCTACCAACAAACTCTGAAGTCAGGTGTCACATGTGTCACACAAATTTCAGTGCAATCGACAAAATCCAAGCCTCGCTGGGATGCAGCATAGTTTCCACCGTGTCCTTGTGAGTTGCCTCACGTTGACTTTGGACTGAGGGCCATTGTAAAGGATGTTAGAGAATGCGGGCAGGGGGTGGGTCAAATTTATTTATGAGCACTACAGAAGCTCGGAAGCTCACCACAAGCACTGCGAAGCAAACAGAAAGAAAGCCACCAAGCAGAAACAAACAAAAATCAACATGGAAATAAATTGAAGTTTTAAAAATCAACAAATCCATCAAGTTCCATCAATTGGTTCGACTGGGCGCCTCCACCAGCTGCCCTTCCGTCAGGCCCTGGATGCCGCCGAACAGCTCCGGGTCCCGAGCACCACCTGGACACCAAGGTGAAGGACGGAGCAAGTACCGAAGCCAAACCGTTTTCTTTTTGTTCCTAAAAGCGATGCACTTGTTACTAGTAGCTTCTTGTTTCTAATAGCTTCTTGTCATTACTAGTAAGGCACTTG